TATATTGTGAGCTCTGCCAATCTGTACTGGGTTCGAAATAAGCAGAAATATATCAGACATCAAATTCTACTACTCTATTTTCTCTCTGAACAAACTGTAACTATCCAGGGTTATGCAGACCTGGCTGCTCTTGTGTTGTTGACTGGATATAATCTAATTTTAAAAAGTATGAATCCTATGGCAGTGCAAGTGATTGGGTGTACAATTAATAAGTGCTACAGTACAGGCTTTTATGGATGGTTTAAGCTTCCTGAATCTTTGTGTTTGAACAATATGGCAGACATCTTGTTCCGCCATATCTCAATCCTATCAACGATCCAGAAATTACATGGAAATTTTATTAATGTTCCTGACCAATAGTTTGCCACTGCATGGATCCAAGAGCTTGTAGTCTGGTCTCTTGATGGAATAGAAATTCACAATGTGGATTTTGAGAAAGCAAGGTAGAGGGAAGAAATGGTTCTGTCTCTACGGTACAGGTACTGAGCTTAATACTCTATGATGAATGAGAGTCTGTCAAACATAAAGATTTAGTGTAAAATAATAGGGGGATGTCCATCACTACCCAATGGAGGATTCAGACTCATTCTACAGGCTTGCAAAGTTTCTGAATCAAACTATGGAATTGAAGAAGTCAAGGTTTAAATGGGAATAGAAGGTTAACATGAGAGATGTATCAACTGGAAACCTAGGAGGAGAGGAAGGAAACATCGCAGATCCAGGTGGAGGTCAAGGTTTTTAAGGATCATGACCTGGGAGGCATTAATGATCCCAAACCTTCTTGCAGGAAGATGATGTCGGGGAAAAGTAAGAAAAAGAAGGAGAAAGGATCAGATTTGGTTAGGTCCAATTGAGATCATTGAATCTGGAGTGTACAAGAACTCAGTTGATGATTATGATTCGGAAGCGTACTTCTCCAAAGATTTGATTTAACAAGATTATTTTTAAAATGAGTATTCTCAAAGTATTTATCCAGGATTAAAAACTGCTCAGTACATTGATTAGTAATGTTTGTCTTCACATTTTTAAGTTACTTATGATGATCATACTCGCAGTGGTGTTCCTCAAGATATAATTTGCTAAGTAATGATCAAATTTTTAGTGCTTGGATCTCGTGCATCTAATAATAATTGATCGTTGGAATTCTGGCAATTCTGATAATGATCATTTTATAGTTTGACTAAACAGTTGATTGTTAATAGTGGATCTCTATGATCTCTATGATAGTTAAAAATTATAATTTTATGTGTTAAATTGTATAAGATTTGTAATGCCAATCATGATACCCAAAAGGATGACCCGACTTGAATAAGATATTTTGTTCAGAAAAAATTGAATTGAAAGTCAACTTATCTTTTTGATAAGCCCATAATTAATTTGGAGGTTGAAAGGAGCTGAGACCCACCCTGTATGAAGTGAGGTCTCCCTTGAAGGAGAAGAGACCCACCCTGGATGATGTGAGGTCCCCCCTGAAGAAGAAGAGACCCACCCTGGATGATGTGAGGTCCCCCCTGAAGGAGCTGAGACCCACTCTGGATGAAGTGAGGTCCCCCCTGAAGAAGCAGAGACCTACCCTGGATGAAGTGAGGTCCCCCCTGAAGGAGAAGAGAACCACCCTGAAGGGTGTTAGATCCTCATNATTTGTCTCAAATGTTGATTTGGGAACTCGTTAAAACCACGGGAATCATCTAAGCATTAAAAAAGTTCTGAATTGTGTGTGTTGACTTTTATAGAAACATTAAAGAGTTAGGAAAAGCTGGGTTTAAAAGGTATAGTACAGAGCGTCCCATATCATATTAGATTATCTCCAATCTTTAACGCCAAAATACGCACATAATACTCAAAAAATCTAGCATTTTCTGCAAAAAAATAATTTCTGTTAGCCTTATTAAATTTTTCAAAATGATTCATTCTTCTTAAATTTTCTGATTTGTCCCTCAAATTGTAATTTGGACCCATTGACACGGTCTAATTTGATGTGGGACACCCTGTACAATATTATATAGAAATAACGATAAATTGAATGTACAACTGCTGAGTGTTACAGAGTACAGTACAGTACAGTGTTACAGTACAGGTCTAAAGGATTTTTCAAACCGTTTTTAACTTTTTAGTTTATCTTTTGCCAGTGTTACATTTTTCATTTAAAAAAAGAGAAATTGCCAAGAATAAAATGTGTAAACGATAATAGATCTTACAGATTTCCGGGAACTAATTAGGATGTCTAATAATACTAATGTGACGTGGTACCCGATCATCTGATTTAGAGGAAACGGACCTAACTCATTCCGACCTAAAACTGTACCAACAAAGGATGAGATGTTATCTAATTTTGATGGCTCCGTGCAACTGTAAACTCATCTCTTTATCTGTCAAATCAATAAATAATCCATTTAAAAGATATACTCAAGGCAGAAGACTTATTTTTGCCTATCTTTGCCAATCATATGAGTTTCAGGTCGTCTTTACAGATTCATCTTTTGTTTGTAATCCATATCAAATCTTAAAAAGGTTTGACAAGGTAATATGAGAGTAGTTTAATTGGAATACAAAAAAATATTGGGAGTTAAAGTCTAAAAACTATTCGACAATTAGGTTGGATTCCCTTTAGATCAGTTTTCCTCTAGGTCAGCTTCCATAGCATCCAGTAACGGTANAAAAGTTCAGATAAGCAAAAATGTGTATATAAATTATTTCAATTTAAATCTAAAATTTTATAAGGATTAAATCACAGAATGACAGAAAATTTGCAAAATTGTAATGAGAAAATTTGTAATTTTCAGTTCTAGCCTAATTTTTAAGGAAAAGTTATTTAAATTCTTTAGTTACTTTCTTCTTAGTATATTACAAAGTTTAAAATATACGCTGTTGAGTTGAAACCTGAAGAGCCATCGAAAAACATAAAAAAAGGAAAAATTGTTTCTCGATGGCTCTTCAGGTTTCAACTCATTAGCGTATTTTTAAAACTTTATAATATACTACGAAGAAAGTAACAAGAGAATTTAAATAACTTGTTCTTAAAAATAAGAGCAGAACTGAAAATTGCGAATTTTCTTTTTACAATTTTGCGAATTTTCTGTGATTCTGGGATTCAATCTCTATAAACTTTGCTTTTGCTTTTCTAAACTTTAGATTTTGAGAGAAAAAAAAGGTTCGCGGAGTTTTTTAGAACCATTGGAATACCAAAAAAATTACAAATTTCCAAAAAATATTGATAACACCCCATACAGGAGAGTTAAACAAAAAAAAAGTACAATTTTGCACCAGGCGTCGCAAATCACACTTTTTTTTGACTCACCCTGTATATTTAGAGTTGAGAGTGTTGAAAGTGTGTCTAAATCTTGTTGATCTTGACTCTTGACTCACCCTGTATATTTAGCGTTGAGAGTGTTGAAAGTGTGTCTAAATCTTGTTGATCTTGACTCTTGACTCTTGAGGCAACATTGACCTACTTCGCACTGCAAAATCTCTGTCCTCTTTAAATAGATAGAGAAGAAGGTCTAAAAATAATGGGGCACTTCTTAAAAATTTTAAATTGAGTGGGTTTTTTAAAAATGTTATAAAGAACATAATGAAGCAGAAGGTTTCTTTTTAAAAATATTTCAAATTATCTTGAAAAAGAAAAATTAATTAATTCTCTTGGATTTATTCAAATAACCTCAATGAACATGGATCAACATTAAAAAAGATTCTGAAAAAAATGTAAAATATGAGAAAATTATTTCTCTTTGAGTTAAAAGTTTAAATCCCCCTCGAAAGCTCTCTCTCCCTCTGTCAGTGCTGACTAAATGAACAGAAATAAAAAGTTTGAACTTGAAAATCTGCGAAAAGTCCAAACATAGTTTTAGCTTCAGTTCTACATACAAAGTGCATTAGCATACTTTAGTTTTAGTTCTCTAACATTCCACTTTATTAAAGGGACTCTTGACGGAATTTCAAGTGACCCCCCATTTACAGAGTACAAAGTACATTTTAAATCTTAATTTGAGTACAAATTTTGAGAATATCCTTGTTTTTTTATCCAAATTTGATGATTTTTAATTGCGGGTTCTCTGGATAAGTAAGAAATATAAACCGTGAATTCAACATTTTTAAAAAAAGAACAATGTTGATATCTTAATCGCTTTTGCACAGATATGGTGTATAGGGTACCATTGTGAATCTGGTATGGAACTCTTGGACTAGGGGTAACTTGAAATTACGAATACAGTACCTTTAACAACTTCAGTTTGCATAGTTCATAGTTGTATATTTCAGAAATGTAATTTTTTTTTTCCCGTTTTAGACATTTTTATCATTTTGCTGATTTTTTTTTCTGGATTAAAATGTGTTGCATTTCCATTTCTTACAAGTAAAGTTTTCTTGAAAACAAAACGAAAATGAATATTTTATATTTATTCCATACTCTGCGGAGAAGAAACAATAACATTTTATTAATAATATATGTTCATAATCAGCCACTTTCCCAGAAAGTCAGGAGGCACCATCTTCGATTTTTTTCAAACTTTAAATATGGAAATACGTATGCCAAACATTCTGAACAAAATTTAATTAATCAAATTTAAAATGTTTTTAGTAGTTTTATTTTAGGATCGAACTGGTCNCCCCCCCCTCAATACCTTTCTGTTAAAAACCTTATTTACGTCATATGCATAGTTCTAGTGTTCTCCTGTGGTTTCCAATCCTAGCTGTAGGCCTAGGCCCTACCTTCTATCTTCTGCCTAGCTAGCGTGGAAACCAGGAAAGTGAGAGTCTCTCCAGTGATTTTAACGTTACTTCACAGAATGACGAGGTATCGTAACGTCGGCGACCCAAATTTCTAAAAATATTCTAAATTTGGCTTGATTAAATACTTTTCACCTTTCTTTTCAAGATTACTTTGTTTTAGAAAAAGCCGAATTTCTTTTCGTCGACGAATTGTGCGCGCTAGGGTTAGTTTCACTGCCTGGTAAGTGTGCCTACTGCCTAGATAGTCAGGTAGTTGAGTGGCGCAGTATGACCTGAATTCTCCCAGTGAACACCGTCTCTCACGTGAAATCAACAAGTTATTCCTCGATAATCCTCGAAATTAGTTACTGCACTGTTGAAACCGATAAACTCAATATTTTAGTGAGGTTTTTGTGAATTGTGACAAAATGTAAATATACTTATTTCAACACGATCTCAACATTATTCAGGTTTGTGAGATTTACACGTCTAGCAGATGACGGAGAAACGTTTTCTTTTCAACCAGGATCCACATTCCTCTAAAAAAATCAAATGGTGTCAAATTACATTTCGAAACTATAAACATTTTGTTAATAGATTAGAACATTTCTTTCATGTATTTATAGCAAAATTTCAGATAATTCGTTATTTTTAGCACTGACTGTCCGGTTAAAAATTTGTAAAATCATCCTAATGTTATGTTCTCAAATTCAAACAAAATGTACTATTCTAAAAAGCCTTCGCTATTTTTCGACTAAGCATAAATTCTATAAACAGGACCCAGACTATCTTTTTAAAAGGACCCAAACTTTGTTTCTGTTGTAAATTAGAACCTAAGCGTTTTCCTGTTTTTTAGGAACCAGGCTGTTTTCTTTTTTTTAAACAGAACTCAGGCTGTTTCCTGTTTCTAAACAGAACTCAGGCTGTTTCCTGTTTATAAACATAACTCAGACTGTTTCCTATTTTCAAACAGAATTCAGGCTGTTTCCTGTTTCTAAACAGAACTGAGACTGTTCCCTGTTTCTAAACAAAACTCAGGCTGTTCCCTGTTTCTAAACAAAACTCAGGCTGTTTCCTGTTTCTAAACAGAACTCTGGCTGTTTTTTTAACTAAAAGTATTTAGACGTAATTTTCCCTGGACGAATTCTGTCATTAAGAAAAATATCGTATTGGATGCAATTTAATAATTTTGTGAATCTTGTAAAACCCCATTTTTGAAATAGACAGCGTGCATATTCAGTGATCACACAAACTGCAAACCAGATAAATGTAAAATCAACGTCATGGAACAAGCTAGGCGGATACGACGAAAATCACTGTTTAAATATCGTCGTTTTAAATAAATAAATATATTCAATCATGAGGCGGAATAACCCCTAGTACAATATGAGGTTGGGTCAACCCGGTACAAATTAAGTAGCGCTTTCTTAATTCCTGACATTTTAAGATTATCTTTATCTTAATTAAAACATTACCACTAAACATTATAAATGCACTTTTAAAACAACAAGGGTTTGATATTTTAAAGGGAAGAGAACAAGGAAAAGAGTTATTTTTGCAAATTTTTAAAAAGAATTTTTTTTTAAATACCCAAATATCAAATTCTAACTCTTTAAGGAATTGTATCCGTAACATTTCATTTGAAGTGGGTCATTACCGATTTACAATTCGGTACCCTCTAAATCTTTAATAGATCATCGAGGACAGACAACTCAGAGTATTTTTCTCTTAAATGTTGCCTGAAAAGCCGTAAATCTGGAGTGTAAGCTAGCGTTCCAACTCAGTTTTTAAAAGTGCAAGTGTTTCTAAAAATAAATAAGGAAAAGTCTGCCATCCTTGATCAGTCAGAGCTGTTTAAAGGGCTCCGACTACCGTGGTGAACCAGTGATACCCCTCTTTCATTAAAAGGTCATTTGAAATTATGTTTACATTCATTTTAACAATATTAATTCATACTTGATCAGACAACGCTTTCAAGGGTACCCTTGTAAATCGGGCATTGCCATCTTTGCAAGAAGGGTCACTTTTAAATATAATTGTTCCCCACAGGGGTTTTGTGCGAAATAAATTACCAATCCCTTTAAATTATTATCTTAACGAAAGAAGAAATACGCAAATATCTGTAGTTCATTCAACCGGTAATATCATGAAGACAGGCGGAGGAGAAAGCTTGACGAATCTGGAAAATATAAATATTTTAAAATATTTCTGGCACCAGATTTTGTCGAATAATGGCGTAGGTGCAGATTAGTGTTGTGGCCTACTTGGCAAGCTATACAGATACAGACAGAACCAGTTTAGAGAAGGATAAACGTCGTCTTTTTTGATACAGTTGGACGTATAAAACTGTGAAGTACGAAGACGACATATTTGCCTAATCTTGGGTGTATTTGATGTTGATTTAGTCAGAGATTTGTGTCTGTGTACACTGCACAGTAGCCGTGTTTTATGTTCATTGAACTATCTAGAAGCGTGCATGATGAGTCAAAACAATCGTCTTCCTAATCCATAGTTGTGTGGGTTCTCTTGTAACTGAAACGTCTGACTATAGGGGCCTTGGACATTTCAAAGATATATTTTGTGTCTTAATTTTAACAAATAATTCCGAAATAAAGACGACTTTCATAACATGTTACAGTTCAATCTACCCACAAACTTTAATTTCTTAATCCCTATATCTTTGCAACCATATATTGTAAACCTATATTGGTTCAAATTATGTCTAATCAATTTAGCAAAATTATTAATTTGAAAATCAAAAAAGATCGAATAAAGAACTTATTTTTAGTTTTAGTTTTTAATGAGTAATCGGCGAAATTCTCATCGATTTTCGCGTGAGAGTTTTTTTGGATCATCTTAAGGTCTTTGATTTTTGACATGTTTATATTCATAGTTCCTTTATGATAACGTGACTTGGGAAGGAGGAGGGGAGAGAGAGGTTTTTATGTTGGAATATAAATAAAAACCAGAATAGTGCATATATAAAGTCTTAGCTAGTTGCCTACGGCTTGATTCCAAACTTATAAAATGAGAGAAAGAGAGAGATTGGATTTTTAAAAGCGTGAGAATCCCCTCGGCCAAACTTTTTCAACAAAGAAAAAGAAATAAATTTAGAAAGTTTTACTTTTACAATGAAGTTGAACTAATTTCATTGTTTACAGGGGAGAAAGTAAAAACTTAAAACCTAGAAACACATTTTTTCCAGAATTTTACATTTCTACAAAATTTAACATGTAATTTTTCGTTGCTTTGATCTGGAACATGTTTAAGATTAAATAATTATGAAACTAAACTCAATGTAAACAAAACAGATCATTATAGACAAATTTACAGAAATTTGAATATATTTTTAAGGATATATTGATAGATTATATATCGATATGTACGCGTACATAATATATAATCTTTCAATTTTACTTTCGCAATTTCAACATTTTTCTTTTGTGTTTTATTTAAACAATTTTATTCAATATTTCTGTAACATTGCAATTCATTTTTATATAGAAAATCCAAATGTAAGCAATCAATTTTTAATCAGATTTAAATGGATATCTCACCAGCATTCTTGAAAGAATTTATGAATCATTAGAAAGTAAAACAAAAGACAGAACTTGTAAAAGTTTTAAAATTTCAAAAAAGATATTGATTTTTAAATTGAAATTAAGGATTAACTATTAAATTACGAATTTTATCCAGCTATCAAATAACCGTTTTTAAGCACCATATTTTTAAAAACTAAGAACATAAATTTCTTTAAAAAAGAGAAATTTTATTATGTCGGAAAATTGTCGGTTAGAGGGACTGTAGAACAAATTCTATTGAAAATAAAAAATTGCGCATTTACAATTCAAAACAGTGAAATTTGAACCTCTCCCTATAAATAATTAATATAATCTTTATGATTCCAATTGTACTTTGAAAAGTGGTAATTTTTCCTATCAGGAGAATCTGTAAGTCAATCTTACAAATCAGCCATCAAGACTCTTTCAACCATCCTTGTAAATCATGTCCCTCTGTAAAGATTTTAAAAAATCTAGATATTATTTAAAATCCGATAGTTTTATGTTGATATAATTTTCATGTGTAATTATATGTGATTAAAGATATTACTTTTTTTACGTGTTTCGGCGTTACATGTTTTTGGAAAAAAAAACATTTAAATTCAATTTAGAAAATATAGCTATAACATTTCTCAGATGTGATTAAATAACTTTGGATCATAAGAATTTTTATTTTTAATTGAAAGGAATAACTATTGAATTATTTAATCGTGTTAGTAATCTTTGAGATATTACAAAAATATTTTACATAAATTGTACATAATACATAGTCCATAATACATAGTACATAATACATAGTACATGCAGATACTTGGAAATAGAAATTGAAATCCGAGTAACGTTGAAAAGTTTGGGTATTTTTTTGCATGGAATTATTTGATCGTAATATTCGATCAATTCTGAAATTTCAACCAATGTGAGAAGGTTACGTGGTGTGTAAATACCGAATTTTTCCCCGTTTTACGTACTTTCTATTGCGATTTGAGCCGAGTCTTATTATTAGAGACTAGAGACCTACAAATTATGTGTGTTTCACAGTACTAATATTACAATCTGAAACTCAAAATCCAGTTTGGTCTTTAATTGACAGGGCTCTTTAGGCAGGTTTAGATAATTCAGTTAGGTTTTACTTGCTAAGATTGCAAGTCTGAGTTTTGATACTTTGGTACTATAGGCAGAAAGTATTCCACTCTTTCTCAGTTCTCTTTCATTGTCGTGCGTGAAAACTCTTGACGTACTTTTCTTCATAGTAGTTCAGTGCACGGTACAGGTACAGGTACAGGTACAGGTACAGGTACAGGTACAGGTACAGGTACAGGTACAGGTACAGGTACAGGTACAGGTACAGGTACAGGTACAGGTGTACAGGTTCCACAATGTAATATAGTTAAAGATTATATTAAAACAGTTTAAATCTACCCTCTGAGGGAGCACATGAAGATAAGACGTCATTGTTGGAATTTGAACAAATTTTAATTAATCTTGACAAAAAAATTCAAATCGAGACAAATTTATTTGAAATTAGGCGAAACGTAAAGATTCAAATGACGTCATGCTGTCCATTTGATTTTCAATTAAGTATGTAACTTCATGTATGTAATACAACTGTAACTTCATGTATTTATGTAATACAACTGTAACCTCATCTATTTATGTAATTAATACAACTGTGAATTGATGTAAGATACAAATTGGTATCTGAGAAAGTTGTAAAGTTATGAATAAGCAATTATCTCTTCTCTCATCAATGTCGAATTCTTGACTTAACATCTGTTATAAATAACCGTTGTTTTTAATATTCATTAATATTCTCTGTTTCGTGATGATTTTATTATTTTTTTTTGTAGGTTTTACCTAATTTTTATTGGTTATTTTTTATTTATTAAGAAAACCGTTATTAAAGCATTAACATTTTACATTTTAATATTTTAATATATACATTATAATACCGCCAGATCCAATCAGAGTTAAGTCATGTGCTGAGTGGTTACGATTCAAAATCAAGAGAAATTTACAATTTAAAATTATTAAATCAGGCTTATAGAACATTCAAATTGTTATATCGAGTTTCTCATTCAAAATTTGAGGCAAATCGGTCGAACCTAGTCAAACAAAAGATACTACTTTTTATATATAATTATGTTGTTATCTTCATTTTTTCAAAGGTTTTTAATAGTTATTTATCAAGAAAATCTTTCTTTTTAATATTCATTAACATTTTTACATTTATCTAGCCTGGGAACCCAGTGCTGCCAACAGTACTAAAAGTTACTCCCGCACTTGAACAATTTTACCGAGAAACTAAATTTTCGCTAATTAAGTCAATCCACTCAGTTTAGAATCTTAAAACCAAGCTAAGAACATTTCCGTGAGTCTTCCAAGTTCCATAATCAAAATTTGAGGCAAATCGGTCCAGGCGTTTTTAAGTTATGATCGGAAAAACAAACAGACACTCAGACAAACAGCGATTACAACTTTATATTTCCTCATTTTTTATAAGTTTTTTTATATCCAGTTCTTTTTAAATTCATTAAAATATAAGTTCTTTTCATCTTGTTATTATTATTATTGTTATTTTAAAAATAGTTTTTTCCTCTTTTTTTTAAAGCTAAATTTTTTTTATTATTCATGAATATTTATATCATTTCTTGTTTTTCTGAAGAACTAATTCTTTTAAGTTTCTTCCTTTCTTAAACTTGTCCACAGGGGTGGCTAAGCAGCTATAGTCTGAACCCTAAAAAAAGCCCCCTCCTGGAACTTTTTTGTTTACGCAGCTGATTTGATTTTCTTTATGTACATCTATAACCCTCGATGCTTCAAAGTGATTAGATGTAAGGTGAGGAGGATATGGTTCACACAAAGTGATAAGATGTAAGGTGAGGAGGATATGGTTTGGGCGTGATTAGATGTAAGGTGAGGAGGATATGGTTTACACAAAGTGATTAGATGTAAGATGAGGAGGATATGGTTTACACAAAGTGATTAGATGTAAGGTGAGGAGGATATGGTTTACACAAAGTGATTAGATGTAAGGTGAGGAGGATATGGTTCGCGCAAAGTGGTTAGATGTAAGGTGAGGAGGATATGGTTTACACAAAGTGATTAGATGTAAGGTGAGGAGGATATGGTTTGCACAAAGTGATTAGATGTAAGGTGAGGAGGATATGGTTTGCGCAAAGTGATTAGATGTAAGGTGAGGAGGATATGGATTGGGCAAAGTGATTAGATGTAACGAAACTTATTTCCATTAGTTCCGATTTTAAGGGAAATTCAAAACAGAATTAGTAAAGAATGATTTCTCTGAGAAATCACCCTGCCAAGGAAACTTCCAACATTTGTTTACAATCTTTGTTATTATTTTGATGAACCCAGTTTCAAGTATGTCTGATACGAAATGTACCAACCCTATCTCCCCAACCTACATTTTATTGCTGTACTCCCTTATACTACTCCCCCGCAAAAAGTGAGATTTTGCACTTTTTATAACAGTATTTGCTGATGTGAGGTTTTAACCGTTAGATTTGCAACAAAAAAACACACAAAAAAGCGCAAAAATAATTAAACACTTTCTGAACATTTTTGTAATTGTAAAACTCTGACATCTACGAATACTCTAACCTTTTATTTAGAATAAGTAATATCGATGTAATATCGCTGTAATATCGCAGTAATATCGCAGTAATATCGATGTAATATCGATATAATATCGCTGTAATATCGCAGTAATATCGTGAACACATAAAAGGATTTTGATTTAACAAATCTGTTGTTTAATATAACGAACAATGTTAGGAATCTTCTAACGTTATGTTTGTAACAACTATCAAAGGGATAATATATCCAGCAATATGCATTTATTTAAAAAATGCAGTTTTAAATAGACCTTGTTGTGGTAAATATTCATTTTTCAATCCAAATCAAATACCAATTATGTTAACTTTAACCATACAATTGTGGTAGAAATGTTTGACCCTTTTGCCAGCAGCTGTTAAATATAACTTAATTGAAACTACAAAAAAGTGGAAATGGAAGACGACATATTCCCAATCTAAATGATTAAAATCAAACTGAATTTTTCGTTAACGAATCCTACTGTATTTTGCAAACCACTGTATAAAGGTTTATTATTAATCTTTGTTTTCTTTTGATACCCTAACCTCAGTTATTTTGATTTACAATTTTTTTATTGGTTTTCTATTTAGGGGCGTACAATTTGTAAAATTTGGTTGGGGGGGGGGGGCTGAAAACCTCAGGGGGGATTAATCATGAGTCTCCATAGACCCCCCTGGGTACGCCTTTCTTTGTTTTGGTGCACCCTACTGTCGATTTACCGTTGTAAGAGCGTATACAGTGATGCAAGAATATAACGGCAACATGTGAAACCGGCTTTAAGACATTACTCCTCGCAACCTTGAAAAATAGTAAATTTCGAAAATATGCAACCATTTTTAAATGTTAAAAATTATGATGTTTCTTACATCAATTGATTTAAATTGTTTAATACGAAAAAGTGTAAGATTGATTTTTAATGAAATTGTGAAAAATCCGAAATTTACTCGCTACGTCACACATGTAGAATGCCATGGAACACTGTTTCAATAAAAAAAAAATTGGCGGATTTTTCTAGGAATTAAATATGTCTTATTTTCAGGCGAATATTTCCTGATCGTGATTCTACCAATTCCTGGCAGGATGGATACAAAATACGGTAAGTTGTTCATCTCGTAGAGATTAGTCAGCTTGCTTTAAGGTTATGCCGTGGTAGCATACTAGGTTTCAAGAGTTTAGATTAGAATTAGTTTAGTCTTAAACAGGCAGCCAGGCTGGCACCATATACTTAAACATACAGTTAGCTGTTTTAGAGGATAACAAACGGATATTATTCAAGAACCCTTTTATACCCTTCCCCCCCCNAAATACAAATTGTAGAATTTGCTTATCCTATGTCAACCACAGGTTAGCCATGGGTTTTCTCAAAAAAATTCAGCCCATTCGGTCCTGCCGTTTGGCCGGCTTTAGGGAACATATATACAAAAATCTTGTTTTATTTTAAGATAAGATAATAATATTCATGCTAGTAATGACTTATGATAATAATAACAATATAAGATTATATAATCATGATGATTATGATTATGATTATGATGATGATGATGATGATATTTCAGATGCCCCAAGTCCTGATAGGAAGTTGAGTATCACCCAGAACTATGGTTGGATCAGGCAGTACAGTAAACAACCTTGATCAAACCGGTTCCCAGTCTTCACCTAGACAAGCCAGAACCAGAACAGGTAAACAAAAACAATAAAAATAAAAGATAATAAAAAAACATGAATATTAAAATTATAACAGCAACAATAACAACAACAATAAAACAAATAACAACAACAATAACAAAAAAGAAAACAATAACAGCAATTATAACAACGATTCAACAGAAACAACAAGAATAAAAACAATTACAATTACAATAACAACAACAAAAATGTCCATTACAATAGAAAAATCAATAACAAATTGATAACAACAACAGTAAAAACAAAAGCAGTTACTAAACAACAATAGCAAAAATAACAACAACAATAAAAAAAGCATAAACAATAATTATAACCACAACAAAAAATATATTCAACAATAAAAACAATTACAACAATAATAACAATAATAAAAATAACAACAACAATGCAACAAAATAAAACAATATCAACAAAAACAACAAATCAATACCAACAGTGATAAAAATTACGATGACAATAACAACAAAAACATGATCAATCACCATAACAATAACAATAAGAGCAACTGAAATAAATGAAAATAATAAAAATAACAATATTACTAAAGCAACAACATTTTATCAAAATCACAGACGACGTTCAAGTCGTCTAGTTACTGTTTTTTGGGAAACTCTGTAGGTTTACATTTACATATATATGCTATTCCAACGTTATCTGGTTATACACTGTATCAAAATGGATTTCATGGAAAAGCTTGTCAAAAATTAATTTCGAGATTTTTTCATTTATGTTATGATTCTTAAAAAAAGGGGAGCCATCAGACCCCCCTGAATATTTAGAGCGCATTTCATAAACTATTTTTTCTTGATATTTCTTGAAAGTAGGAGACTAAGATAGAAGGATCGATCGATAGGTATAGGATAGGATAGAGGAGATAGAGAGAGAAGAGAGAGAGACTTGGTAGTGTACACTAACCCGGGAGTTTGATATTTGAACAGCTGACTAGTGACTATATTAATCTCAATCCACAATCACTTGAAACTTTGAGTTTGAACTTGATATTGCAAAAAGATGCAAATTTTAAGTGTTAGTGATTATTTTGGGTTTTTAAGTTACATACAACCAGAAGTTTTATCAATTGATTTGTTAGAAAGAATTTACTTTCTGAGAATTAAGACCCTTCCTTACTGCAATGGTGAAGTCCATCGTACGAAACTAGTAATTTTAGTTCAGTCTTGTAATAGCATGATTTCTGGACCCCCTTAAGNTACATGACCTAGATTTCAACTAATTTAAACAAAATCAATATCTCTTTGAATTATTTTAGGGTTAGGTTAGGTTAGAACAATTTCCGGGTAATGTTACATCGTCTATACGCAACATCCCCCCTACTGAACTTCTGACCTACTAACTTTCCGACCTACTGCAATATCGGACCTACGCCAGCTGTTTATTTTAGTATTATTTGTTGGTTAGATTAGGTTAAGACAACTTCCGGGCCGAGCGCTTCAGCTAGGACAGCAAGGGGACCGAGCGCCGCGCCTAGAATCAGACCCGTAGCCAGAATTTTCCGGAGGGGGTTGCAAGGAGGGGTGTTTTAGTATAGGCACAGGTTCATCTAGTGAAACCTAGTAAACGGGGGGAGAGGTTTCAAAGGGATAGAGCCCCCCTGCATAGAAAATACTTGTCATTTTTTAGTAGGAATATTTTAATTTTGGGCCTGTCCTAAAGAACGATTTTTTACAGTTTTCAATTGAATTAGTATTTATTTAGGATTAGGTTAGGTTAAGACACTTTCTGGGCCGAGCGCTGTGGCCACGGGTTAGGTTAAGTTAAGACACTTTCTGGGCCGAGCGCTGCGGCTAGGATAGGCTAGGGGCCGAGCGCTGCGGCCACATGTCTTAAATTTAAGATCCATGTACAAAATTGATAGAAGGAGGGGGGAGTCAAAAATCTCTCTAGGAAATTACCTTAATTTTAAGCGGGGGTCCAAAAATTCTATGCTAGTTACCCTTCTTTTGTCATGTTATAAGCACTTATTTAGCTCTCTAAAAACCAAATATTTGATGCTTTAAGTTTAAAGTTTCGAATTAAAATATTTAATATTTAAGAAAGATGTAAAATGATCGATATGTAGCTAAACGGTAAATTATTTTTGGTGTTTTTAATATTCAAATCGTCACGAAAAACAGCAAATTTTGTTTTGAAGATTTTTGAATTTGAAAATTTCTTCTTTTCTATGACATTTTTACTTCACAGATCAACTGTTTTCTTTACCAATCCATAGACACGCTTATTCTATAGGCAATATCGATGCATAGACAATCTCAATTCTTAGACATACGAATGTATAGACAATACCAATATATATGCAATTGTTATACTAATCCATAGGGAATTTCTTTTTATAAAAGAGATTTTTGTCCCCAGGACATGATCGGGTTGTTACGATCAAATCTCGGAATTTTTCTATTGCAAAAGTTTGGTGTTGTAGGTTTATATGGATCTACCAGGGGTTGTAATCTGGAAGCACAATCCGCGCTTCATTCATACTGAGAAGAGGGTTGACAAGATTCCAGCTGCCTAAGGGCTTCTTCGGCCAGAGAATAGTAGTGTAGGAATTCTTCTGATATACTGGAATGAGGCCTGGGCGACTTACAGACAGGAAACATCACACTCATAGCTCCCAATCATTTGTAATTATATATTTGGATACCTCCAGGTATCTAGCTGACAACCATAGACTCTCCCTTGTCCACCATTCCTCTCTTCATCATCATTCCCTTGAATCAATCCACTTAAAGCTTCTTTCTTGTTGAGCGGAAAGCATGCACCCTTTTGCTGCGAGAATTGTTGACAGCCGCAGCTCTGTACTCCTACATCCGTCAGGTGGTCATAACTGCTTAACCAGATGTCGGCTTCAGATGTTTCTGAAACCACAGTTTTGTGTGGAGTACGGGAATCGAACCTGTGAACACCAGTCTGGACACCAATCCAGTTTCTGACTGTGAGCAAGTGTGCTTAACTTCAGTGAGCTAACACGAACTGGTGTCTTGACCCCACCCCACAAACATGGGCAATTCCAATCAATAGAAAATACCAATCCATAGACAATACCAATCCATTGGTATTACAAATCCATAGACAATACCAATCCATAGAACTAAAAGCACCAATTCGTAGGCAATACCTATCCATAGACAATATCAATCCATACCAATCCATAGACAATACCAAGCCATAGACAATACCAACCCATAGGCAATACCAATACACAGACAATACCAATCTGTAGGAAATACCAATCTATAGACAATTACATTCGATAGTCACACTAATTATGACAATCCAATCCAGAGGCATACCACGATCCATATACGCATCAATTCATAGACAATACCAATTTCCATAGACAACCCCGACTATTTCTTCCACAGTCGATCAAGTTGTGAATTGAAAATTATAAAAAATAAATCTATATTTTTATTTTTGTAGGAAGAGGAAGAAGCTTCCTGTCCAAGATGTGGTTGGGTAGTAGTAGTAGTACTAGTAGCAGTTCAGCAGCTACTAGCACCAGTAAACAGGAGCTGCATACTATACAAGATGCTCTTTTCACAGATTTATATCATGAGGTACAAAACTTATCAACCCCTCTCTTACTTTTTCGCCTCTGACTCTTTATTATACTTTTTATTTTGTTAGTGGCACTTTCCGGCACACTATCCTTTGGGCACCCTTTCCTTGGGGCACCCTTTCCTTTGGCCATCCTTTCCTTGGGGCACCCTTAACTTCGGCCACCCTTTTCTTTGGGTACCCTTTCCTTTGGCCACCCTTTTCTTTGGCCACCCTTTCCTTCTGGCGCTCTTTCCTTCGGGCACCCTTTCCTTAGGGCACCCTTTCCGTCGGGCATCTTTTCCTTCAGGCAATCTTTCCTTTTTGCACCCTTTCCTTTAGGCACCCTTTCCTTTGGGCCTGCTTTCCTTGGACACTCTTTCCTTCAGTCACCCTTTCCAATAGGCACCCTGTCCTTCAGACACTATCCTTTAGGCATCCTTTTCTTCGGGAACCCTTTCCTTTGGGCACCCTTTCCTTTGGACACCCTTTCCTTTGGGCACCCTTTCCTTTGGGCCTGCTTTCCTTTGGGCACCCTTTCCTTCAGGCACCCTGTCCTTCGGACACTCTATCCTTCAGGCATCCTTTTCTTCGGGCACCCTTTCCTTACTTTTTATTATCTTGAAAGGGCTGTAGATGTAGTTTCATGTGGTTTACCATTTATCTGATCAATAAGGTGGAGCCTTTTGTTATTTTTCTACCTTGAAGTGTTTTATTTTAACAATTTCCTCCATTCTAACTGTACCATAAATCCGGGCCTGGAGAAAACACACAGTAAAAAGTAATCAATTTCTAAGAAGACTGGAATATTATTCATTATTGGTCACTGGTCAGATGAAGCTTTTATGGGTACTATTGTGATTCTGACATGTCACTTTCTATAAATGGAGGGTCACTTGAAATTAAGTCTAAAGGTCGTTTTAACATTTAACCCTTATAAACTCCATTCTTCTTATATCCTTTTTAACATTTAACCCTTATTAACTCCATTCTTCTTATATCTTTTTTAACATTTAACCCTTATTTACTCCATTCTTCTTAATATCTTTTTAAACATTTAACCATTATAAACTCCATTCTTCTTATATCTTTTTTAACATTTAACCCTTATTTACTCCATTCTTCTTATATCCTTTTAACATTTAACCGTTATTAACTCCATTCTTCTTATGTCCTTTTTTAACATTTAACCCTTATTTACTCCATTCTTCTTATGTCCTTTTTTAACATTTTACCCTTATTTACTCCATTCTTCTGATGTCCTTTTTTAACATTTTACCCTTATTTACTCCATTCTTCTTATATCCTTTTTTAACATTTAACCCTTATTAACTCCATTCTTCTTATATCCTTTTTCTTCTTCCTATTTTTTAAGACTCACATTGATCTTTCCACCAAAAATACAATAAAGAAAGTATATGTTTTAGAAAAATTGTTTGACCCGGGTTGACCCTCTTTAGTTCTTAATATTTGTTATTGTTCTAATGAAATAGTCGTTTTAACATTTAACCCTTATAAACTCCATTCTTCTTATATCCTTTTTAACATTTAACCCTTATTAACTCCATTCTTCTTATATCTTTTTTACATTTAACCCTTATTTACTCCATTCTTCTTAATATCTTTTTAAACATTTAACCCTTATAAACTCCATTCTTCTTATATCCTTTTAACATTTAACCCTTATTAACTCCAGTCTTCTTATATCTTTTTTAACATTTAACCCTTATAAATTCCATTCTTCTTATATCCTTTTAACATTTAACCCTTATTAACTCCATTCTTCTTATATCTTTTTTAACATTTAACCCTTATTTACTCCATTCTTCTTAATATCCTTTTTAATATTTAACCGTTATTAACTCCATTCTTCTTATATCCTTTTTTAACATTTAACCCTTATTTACTCCGTTCTTCTTATATCTTTTTAACATTTAACCCTTATAAACTCTATTCTTCCTTTATCCTTTTTAACATTTAACCGTTATTAACTCCATTCTTCTTATATCCTTTTTAACATTTAACCCTTATCAACTCTATTCTTCCTTTATCCTTTTTAATATTTAACCGTTATTAACTCCATTCTTCTTATATCCTTTTTTAACATTTTACCCTTGTTTACTACATTCTTCTTATATCCTTTTTTAACATTTTACCCTTGTTTACTACATTCTTCTTATATCCTTTTTTAACATTTTACCCTTGTTTACTACATTCTTCTTATATCCTTTTTAACATTTAACCCTTATCAACTCTATTCTTCCTTTATCCTTTTTAACATTTAACCGTTATTAACTCCATTCTTCCTTTATCCTTTTTTAACATTTAACCCTTATTTCTTCTTATATCCTTTTAACATTTAACCGTTATTAACTCCATTCTTCTTATATCCTTTTTTAACATTTAACCCTTAAAAACTTCATTCTTCTTATATCCTTTTTAACATTTAACCGTTATTAACTCCATTCTTCTTATATCCTTTTTTAACATTTAAAAAAATACAATAAAGAAAGTATATGTTTTAGAAAAATTGTTTGACCCGGGTTGACCCTCTTTAGTTCTTAATATTTGTTATTGTTCTAATGAAATTGTTCCACCCATTGTTAAAGTTGACCTGGATAGAACTAGAAGACTAGTAAGCTAGCCGTAATAAATTCAACTACAGTTCAGTTAATTCCCAACTCAGGCCTTAAAAAAAAAAGAAAAAAAATGTAACTGTTGAATGAAAAAAATGTTTGTTTTTTAATTTTGTGTTATTTTCTAAAAATATTTTTCTCTAATATTTGGGTTTCAAGTACACGAATAAATATTTTGACTCCGCTTTAGGTCCGCCTAGCTGCCCCCTCTGCCCAGTTGACCTACACTCTCCGGAGTAGGTTGGAGAAGGTGGAGAGGGTTGAGAGAAGAGGGATTGTATCCAGGGTTAAAGAAGGATGCTCTCCACTATTCATAGGTAATGCATTTATCTCATTGTACTATATTATCAAACAATTGGAGTGATTCTCAAAAATATAAATTTATAAATATGTAAATTTATATCTTTGAAAATCGAAATATATTTGCCAAAAAGACTCAATTTCATACGTCTGTAAAAGTTCAATTTTTCTTCAAAATTTAAATTATTTTTAATATTGCGTTTAATTTTTCATGTTCTATTTTTGTTGCATTTGTTCAAAGAAATGATCTTTTATATTTGATCTCACTTCTTTAGAACATTATTAAATATTTCTACCCAGCTCGTTCTGGTGATTCCTTTAAAAAACTTTTTTCAGGTCCAGTTATTATTGCTATCATAAGAATTTTAACCTTCTAAATTTAAGATTTACGCCGAATATGGTTTACCTAATAATTTGATTTTTTTACGGTCTAAGTCGTATGTTCCAACTTCCTCAATTTGTATGGACACTACGTTCTTCGGTATGAGACGTCTTTATCAATTTTCTCCTTATAGACGCAACAGATAGAAGTAAGATTAGTAGCGATCAAAAACGCTTTTTTATCGCATTAAGCCTATACCCCCTTTCATTTTTCGCGAACACTCCCTTTAAGAAATACATTTCTGCGTTAACTTCAAAGTAAGGTTAGATACTCTGGATGTGCTCCAATGTATGTAAAGACGACCTTCATTGCAATGTTTATTTTGTAGGAATAACAAATTTCGCGGCTCACAAAATATAAACAATATATAAAATTGAGAACTTGAATTAGAATGGCATTTTTTAGCTTAAAACTTGTAAGCACAATCAATATTTGTTAAATGTGATGATTGTTAGTTAAGTATCAGTGACGTCATATGAGGATTTAGGGTCTTCATTGCAAAAAACATGACATTTATATACAGTGGAGCGTATCCAGAGTATCTAACCTTACTATACATCCTTAATTAACTTTAAATTTGATAATTCACTTCTCCGTGTAGGTTCAAAATAGTTTCATTTACAGTTAACACCCATAAGGGAGGGATTAGAGAAAATGCATTTATTCTTCAGTTCTGGGTATAAATTATATTGTACAAGATAAAGTAAGATATAGAGTAAGTTGGAAAAATGGGAAATTTTAACATCATTCCTCCAAATCATTTTTACATTTAAAAAAGATTATTTGATGGGTTTTTAATGTTGAATTTTAACAATCTAATTAACAAATATGGCCCTGTAAACCTTTATATGATCAATAGTGTGGACGATATCGTCATTTTTAGTTTGTAAAGTGTTAAATTCTGATTTTCTGCTCCATTTTTTTCCGAAGCGGAAATTCGCGAATTGGGCAAACTACTGTTTAATGGAAAATCAATAAAAATTATTATTCAAGGTTTTATTATTTTAAAGAGTGTATGTTGAAAATGTACTTGTAATATTATATTTATTGCAGCGTGTAAGAAAGGGAATGTAGAGATAGTAGAATACCTAATCTCGGTATGCCAGGCAGATGTCGAGCAGAGAGGACAATATGAAGTCTTGGACGATAGGTAATTAGAAATTACCCCCCCCCTTATCAATTTGGACGACTAAAACCTCCAGCGGGGGTCTAGGAAATATGTGCACAGTGAATGTATTGGCATATCAAGTGATTACCTGCCAAAATATACCTCCGCGCGTTTCACAATTAAATTTGTGACGTCATTAAGAATTATGACGGACAAAATTTAAAACTCGGCAAAGCTTTCGACATCAAATAATTTTATCATTATTCGTGTATTTTATCATTTTATCATTTCAATATTTTTAAATTTTATCATTTCAATATTTTAAAATTTTATTATTTGAATATTTTATCATTTTATCATTCCTATATTTTATCCTTTTTCCACCGACCTGTCCCGTATGTTACCTCAAGATTTAATCAATTTGTAGGTCAGTAAAACAATTGGTTTGTTTCTTTCAGGTCGGGGTGGAGATTGTAACCAACTGATTTTATGTCGATCGATGTCCAAACGTACTGTATCTAGTTACTATATGGAATTAGGGATGGGGGGGGGGG